CCCCATCTTGCTTACATGCTGGTTTAAACATTTGATAGTGTTCTAATTTCTCCCAGACTACGAAATAAAAAAAATATGCTGCTAGAGACGATGGGATATTTCTGCTTAAGTTGGTACACCTGGGACACATTATTGCTTTGGGATTATGTTGGGTGTACCAATTCCTAGATTTCTTTTGCAGTATGAAGAAATAGGAGACTCCTTCTAATTGGAGTTGCATAGTGCAATAACCAGGACATTATAGTCAATTTTTCAGTCTCCCACTTTAAATATAAAGGATTTGTCTCTTCAAGTTCAACAAATTTACCATTGATATATCCAACTTCCCCCCACCACCAATAAATTTTGAGTAGACTGTGACCATTCTAAATAATTGGTCCCATCAAGTTTAACAATAGTAATTTGCAATCTAGGGTTTTCTCCATGGATACCCATGTGAGAGTTTATACTCAGAGTATTGGTGGTGGTAGAGGAGGGCTGTGACATTTGAACCACTGATATTTGACATATCAGCCACTGTTTAACCATGAAGGATATTTAAAATCATGAACGATTGTTGTTTGCGAATCATGGGCGTCTATGAGTCGAGGCTTATACAGATGCAAATTGGGCTAGTTGTATTATGGACATGAGCTCTACATTAGGCTATTGCAATCTAATTGGGGGTAACCTTGTCACCTGGAGGAGTCAAAACCAAAAAGTTGTAGCCTGGTCAAGTGCAGAAGCAGAGTATCGTTCCATGACTCATGGTGCATGTGAGTTGTGGTAAAAATTTTTATAATGGGAACTTCGGTTTTCTATGAAGGGATCAATGCCCTTATACTGTGATTACAAGGCAGCCATTAATATAGCTCACAATCCTGGTCAGCATGATTGGACAAAGCATATTGAGGTAAACCGACATTTTATTCGAGAAAGAGTTGCTACTAGAGAAATATTTCTTCCTTATGTGAAGATCAACTAGTTGATATTCTAACAAAGGTTGCTGGTAAACATCATCTGTAAGTTGTCTTAAGCAAGCTGAGCATGATTGATATCTATGCACCACCTTGAGGGGGAGTCTAGTGGGAGTGAATATTGATTACTTACTCTTCATTATATTGTATTTAAGTCTCTAAGGACTTAATTGTCCTTTTTCCCACAAAAGGACATTCTTGTGCAACAAGTAAATCTTTTATGACTAATTTTAATATATGAGAGGTGTTGGAGGTCAGTTTGAGCTAACATCATCCTCTCTCTCTCTCCCTCTCTCAAAATTCATTTCCTTCCTCATATTCTCTGTCGTTGAACACTTGTTCTTTTTCGTATTTTTTCTCAGTCCACTCAGTGAACCAGCTGACTTGGATTGGTTTGACCCATTTGCTCATATTAAGCTAACCAAAAAATTTGAAAAAATATTAATTTTTTTTAAAATAAAATTAGTTGATATGTGGAGAAAATGATGAATTTGTTATATATTTTGGCCAAGTTATCCAAAAAAGTGAGAATACTGAGAGTTTGTTTCCTTTTTGAGTGCGACATGGTCATTTGAAAATCTAAAAATAGTCAATTTGAAAAACAAAAAGAACAAAAGAAGATTAAACAATAAAATCTAAACCTACCTAAAAAAATAGAATAACAATAGAATTTGAAACCTAGCTGCTTCCCCAAAATGTGTATGTGATATTATGTGATTATTACTCGAACACAATGAGAAATAACCAGAGAGCTACACACCCTAGGAACAAACTCACCCACTGAATTTCATATAAGGGAAACACTAAGGTTTTTACGTATAAGATTGTTTGCATGAGGAGTTTCGACTCTCAATCCCTATTACAATTTACTCCTAACTAGTATATAGGTTCAAATACCTTTGATTCGGTCCTCAAGGCTTTTGATGGAGGGCAAGATTATTCTTATTTTTAATATTTGTTTAATTTTGGAGTATGTATATTTTAATTTAGGTTTTATGGTTTATTTCTAAGTTTTTAAGTCTTTTAGGGATTCTCGGTTTGTTTTTTTTTTAATTTACTTTATGATTACTATTCACAAGTATTGTTCAGAGGCGTAAAACTGTCATTACAAATTTTATGATTGAGTTAGGACTTTTTGGTCATTTTATTCTTTGTATGGACATCTGATGTCCTTAAACAATTAAATATACATTACTTAATAGGTGCATCCGTGCTTCTAGTGAAGAGTTGAGTGAAGAGGAAAGTGATAGAAGACCTAGATGTAGGGAAGATTGCTCTAGGGTTTCGAGTTTAAGGTCATCCTTGATTTTGAAACAGTTTGTATAAAAAATCAGAAGGTTGTAGATTGAGATTTGCTACTAAATTTAAATACATACTTAGATGAAGAACATAATCTTGTAAGAGATCCATCTATGATGATGATCAAGATTTCTGGGTTAAACCAATTTTTGATGAAGAAAAAGATGAAGGACTCAAGGAGAATTAATAGGTGAAGTTGTTGGTACAGTCATCGAATCCAATGCTCATCTTGAACACCCACTCGTGGTGTGTTCTAAGGCTAAGCCTAGGCAAATTCATTCAACACGGTTATATGGCTGAACTGATGCAATTTCAACAAGTTCATGTGGCTGAATAGACTCTATCAACATACAGTGACCCTTTTCTTGACGGTTTATCAAAAGTTCTTATGAATATATTAATTGATTATGAAAACTCAGTTTCATTGCATAATTGTTGTGTTTTACAATATTCGACTTGAAGAAGGTTGCAAGACTAACACAAATTTCATCTTAGTGCACTTCAAAACTCGAAGATCGGTTTTCTCCAACCAAGGGGAGAATGATGGAAGACAAGATTATTTTTATTTTTAATATTGTTTAATTTCATATGATGTATAGTTTAGTTTTAGTTGTAGGGTTTATTTCTATGGTTTTTAAGTTTTTTAGGGATTCTAGGGTTTCTAGGTTTTTTTTTTTTTTTGTATTTTTTGCCTACTTCATAAGTACTATTCACAAGTACAGTTCACATAGGTAAAACTGTCATTACGAATTTTATGATTAAGTTAGGACTTTTGGGTTGTTTTATTCTTTGTATGGATATCTATGTCCTTGAGGCTTGAACAATTAAATAAACATTGCTTAAGAGGTGAATGGGGCCTTGAGGGGTCATTCCACATGATTTCAGAATTTGAAAGTGAGAGGAAGCTTAGGCTTTTAGAATCCTAGCTTGGGGTGAAGAGGAAAACCCCATGTTTCTCCAAGTTGCTGCTTGTGTTTGGCTTGAATTGTGTTCTTTTGCTATTTTTCTAATTTCTCCTACATCACATTTAGAGATACAAGGAATGGAAAATATACATAAAGTAAGAAAATTAGTATCAAGGGCGCATATGCCCATATACTTGGCTATTAACAAGGACACTATCTTCTTATCTGCTTCCAATGCCCTAGTTAATTTTTTAATAATGTGTTTATTTTAATTTTTTTTAACTAGGGCATTGGAAACCCAGGCTATTCAAGCATGTCTCACTTCGACGATCTAATTTGTTGCCAGATTTGCTGTAGAAAACCCTAAACAGAGACAAAACATTAAAATAAACATATCATTAATTTTTTTAATCTACAACCTGCCTATGAGAGGCTAGAAAAATTCACAGTTTCTCAAACATTTTCAGGTAAGCCCTAAGTCTAGACCAAAACTTTAGATAAATTCAAATATTATTCAAAAACTATCTAAAAAACCATCGAGCACAACCTAGAACATTAAAAAAAAAAAATCTAACTTTCCAATTTACAGACATCTCCTCTACCTATGTTATTAAAAAGTGTTTCAAAAAAGAAAAAGAACCATAAAAATATTTACGAAAAATTTGGTGTCCTCCCGAAATCAAAACAAAAAATGAAAAATATAAATATTATTAAATTTATCTTAGCCTTTCTAAGAAACCAAGGACAAATTCTTCAAAAAATATATATTTTTTAAAGAAATATAAAAAGTAGAATTATAGAAAAATGCCTAAGAACAAGTATTCAAAATAGGAAAAATGATTTCATATTATAGGGTGTATAATCAAGATTAAAATAAAAAAATCTAAATCAGAATAACCTTTGGAAACAAAAATGGTAGGAAAAAATAGCTGAAAAATAAGAAAAATCAATTTTGAATTTTTGGGTTTTGATTCAAAAAACTTCGTTAGGGATTTCCTAGATTGTTGTGTTTGGAACTTTTGAGACACATTTTAATGAATTTAAAGAAAAATGATCTTCAATTTCGAATTCAAAAAATGCCAAAAATTTATTTTGCTTTTCAATTTTATGCGACGACTTGCTATAGGGGTTTGATGGAGAGCTCAAATACAAAGAAGTTAATATATACTTCAAAGAATTTAGTAAAGAACTGGGAGACAACTTTGTAGAATTGCGGATTAGGGTTATTGGTTCAAAAAATGATGATTTTTCATCTAGAAAAACCTCCCAAAGCCAAAATTCGATCCAATATTATTTTGATTGTCTAATAGAGGTGAATTGGTGCTACAATCGGTTGAAATGGGGCTTATTTTAGATTCTGATTGATAAACAAGCCGAAACGTTTTAAAATGGGGCTAAACAAAATGTCTGTTGAATTTTTTACTTGAAAAAAGGGGTAACATATGATTCCTGGTGAGACTCGGCCCACTGCCCCTCCCATTCCGGTTTGACTCAGCTGGTTCGGAGCTGTATCGGTGATTTTTGGAACTCTGGTCCTTTGAGCTAATTAATTACTTAGTCTACTTCCTGTTGCAACCGTTTTCTATCTTTCACCTCTCGGCATCAGGAAAATTACATTGCTGGTATAATCATCATCAGCACCCCTAAGCGCAATGCGATTGTTGCTTAAATGTTCTGCTTTGTACTTCTAGAATATATTTCAACCTTGGCTGATAAATTATAATTCTCATTTGACTCAGAGTCTGCCACTTTGAATATCCTATTTAAATCATTTTCTGGAGTTCACTTTTGTTGCATATGAAAATATCTTATGCTTCGATTTTCATCCACGTGCAGGCAGGTTTATATGAAACTGAATTCAGACCTGTTCCTTTAGTGGAATACATTAAAGTTGGAAATACTATTCTCAACAAAAAATTAGAAGTTGTTCGAACTATCCAGAAAAAGGCTGATCTTGGGGGTAAAGATCCTGACCATATAGTTGCATTATGTGATGAGGTGAGAATTCCATGTATTTCAATCTTTTTAATATGCGCATTGCGCCAATTTCCTTCGAAGTATGCATTCAAATGTTTGATGTAGAAACAAGAAATGGGTGCTTATGCAGATCGTTCAAGAAGGCCATTCAGTACTTCTATTTTGCTCAAGTAGAAAAGGATGTGAGACAACGGCTCGTCATGTCTCTAAGTTCCTTAAAGAATTTACAGTAAATTCACGTGATTCTGTGTGGGAAATTAAAGATGCCTCTTCTGCTCTTGAAGTGTTGAGGAAGTGTCCAGCTGGATTAGATCCTGTTTTGGAGGAAATTTTGCCATCTGGTGTAGCTTATCATCATGCCGGGCTCACGGTATAGTGGATTCCACTTTAGTTGAATGCCTGTGTGTGCATGTATGATATACAAATGATTCTTCCTTTCTCCAGTTTGATGACTGTGCACATGTGCATTTGTGTATGATTGTTTCCAAACATGTGTTAAAGCATTGTGGAACTATCCTACTAGTTTGGATCTTATATTGCAATATGTTTTATATTTATTCAATTGTTAAAATCATTTTTGGGCTGATGGGATAGTGGGTTACCTCTGCTCATTTGATGTCAGTAAATTTTCTGTGTAGTATAGTGTTTACAAAATGATACTGAATGTTTTCCACCATGTCTTGATTGTTTCAGAAACATTTTGGGGTGATATGGATGTTAAATTCTTTATTCTTTTTACCTATTTAGAAGAGTTTCTGGCTATTTTTACAATCAGGTAGAAGAAAGAGAGATTGTTGAAACGTGCTACCGGCAAGGAATTGTACGCGTCTTAATGGCTACATCTACCTTAGCTGCTGGAGTTAATTTACCTGCTAGGAGGGTTATTTTTCGGCAACCCAGAATTGGGCGTGACTTCATTGATGGAACACGATACAAACAGATGGCTGGCCGTGCCGGGCGTACTGGAATTGACACAAGTGGGGAAAGCGTATGATTTGCAACTTATTTCTTTGCTTTTGTCTGAATAGATCTTTTTCTCTCTTTGATGTTGGGGAAGACAGTAGAATGTCACAGACTAGTACCTGCTGCCTCGATTATATTTTGGATGTAACCTCCTTGTTGGGAGACAAGTGCCAATGCATTTATCCTGTCATTTGTGGTTCTCGGCATAATTTACGTTCTTAAAAACGTAAAATCATCATAGCTTTCCGTAAATACATGTGTACACATTCTGATGCACACACATCTTTTACAAATAGTGTGTGTATCAGCACACACACATAAATATATCACTATAGTTAAATATATAACTATAACCTTGATTAATGTTCCGTGGGCCAGATCTAAGGGATGGTTCAAGGTACAACATGATCTGCGGCTCGTTTGATGACAAGTATCTAAGAGAATCAATCAGGGTTCATTGATCTCCCTTATGCATTTCCAAGATGTATTTGATCTGTTGTTTCCCGAGCATTGGTCCTTGTTATGTAATTCACTCAGCCTTCCCTCATTGACTCCGCAGCTGACCGGTTTATGTTGTGATTTGAAGCTGCTGCCTATTAGACCTGTTTTATAAACTCCAATCATTTCCTATTAGGCTTGTTTCATAAACTCCACTTGTTCGTGCTGCCTTTGGCTTCACTTGTTTGTTCTGGATGGTTTCTATTCTAATCGACGAGATGAGTAGGTGAACATCACATCTATTATATCATGCCTTTATAAGGTGTGCGGTTTCCCTGCTCACCATTGATTGGTGGGGAGGAGGGCTGCCCATGGTTTCCCTTTGGCAGTACTGTCCATGGCAACATGACCATTTATACAACACACACAGACTTGCATTTATATATGCGTTCCTGTATATGGTTTTTTGTGTGAATGTATACGCTCACTTTTGTAGGTTAGTGTGTTCATAGTGTTTCAATTATTTGATGTTTCAATGACATGATTATTTTACCTGCATTTTGAAACAATCTTCTTTTTCAATCCGCTGTAGCTGTAGCAACAAGATTACCATGATGTCAGTGATGCTAATTTAATAGTATTAAGGAATGAACATATTCTTTTTGTTTACATGATAATGTTGGTTCCATTCTGAGCTTGACTGACTTCATGTTCCTTTAACTTTTTACTCCAATTACTCCCAACAGATTCTTATCTGCAAGCCGGAAGAGGTCAAACGAATTTCAGCTTTGTTGAATGATAGCTGCCCCCCTTTGCAGTCTTGCCTATCCGAAGATAAAAATGGAATGACACATGCAATCTTAGAGGTTGTAGCTGGGGGTATCGTTCAAACTGCAACTGACATTCATCGTTATGTACGTTGCACTCTTCTCAATTCAACCAAACCATTTGAAGATGTTGTGAAGTCAGCTCAGGACTCCCTTCGATGGCTTTGCCAAAGGAAATTTCTTGAATGGAATGAAGAAACTAAGATGTATAGCACCACACCACTTGGACGTGCGACCTTTGGTAGTTCGCTCACTCCTGAAGAGTCTCTTGTAAGGATATTTGAAGTATTTGGGTTTGCTGTTCTTGCTCTATCTAAGCTCTCCCTAACTTTTTTAGTGATATTAAGATATTGTTAACGATGCCTCTCCTTACATCATGCAGGTTGTTCTTGATGATCTTTCCAGGGCTCGTGAGGCGTTTGTCCTGGCATCAGACTTGCATTTGGTCTACTTGGTCACTCCGATCAATGTTGATGTTGAACCAGATTGGGAATTGTATTATAAAAGGTTCATGGAACTATCGAATCTTGACCAGGTAGGTGTTTACAGGAAAATTCATAGAATAGTTGGCAGCAAGTAGAGTAATTGTTCTTTCCTTAAGTGTTCAGGTAATGAAGATCCCTTGATGAAGATATATCCTCGGCAGACTGGCCTGCAGGAAAATCCTCTTGAAGGGGTTTATGAGTTCACTTAATCATTGTCGCAGAGAGGTTGGTTGGAGGGTGGCGACCCCCCCTTGGAATCTCGCTTTGGCGATCCCAGAGCGAGAGCCCTTAAAGAGATAGCTCGACCTATCGAGTGATCTCAATCTCTATCTTATAAGGATCTAAATCCCTGGCTAAAAGAAACCTTGGTTGCTTTGGAAGGGGGTTGCAACTCCAGTGTCAGCATAATTTGAGGGGATCTCAATCCTAAGAGAAGTTTCAAAAGTTTTTGAATTTTGAACCCATCTTTAATTCTTTTTTTTTGCCTTTCTTACTTTACTTTTTCTCAAATTTGTAGCTAATGACCAACTAAGGAAGATTTCTGTTTTCTATTTCCGTTCTCATGATTGTGGTTTGCATAGATGGTTGAAAAGTGGCGAATAGACTCTGAATTGCCCTATTTGGCTCGAACCTAGTAGGCTTCCCTATCCTGCATAGTCTTGAAGAGGGGAATTTCGTAGGTTGTGCAAGACCCGGTGGTTCTTGCTATAAGGAATCGCCTTGTCTTGTCCAGTTAGGGACCTAGATTCCTAAGTTCGGTTCTTATCATTGCCCTCCAATCTCATTTTTTTGAATTTTTTATAGGACCTTTCGGGCTATTGAATTCTGATTGTGCATGTTAAGATAATGCTAAATAGTGGATGATACATTTCTCAAATTTTAAATCAATTTTTAATTACATTAAGAAAATATATGCATGTGTGTGTGTAAGGATATCCTAGAATACACCATACTAATGAACTTAGATTTCCTATTCCAAAATTTTTAACAACAAAATGCCCTTATAAATATAAAAATTACATTAACAATAACTTGCTTGAAAGTTTTGAGAAGGGCATTTTTGTAATTTTAAATTGCTTTAAAGACCTGCTCATCGTTCAAAAAGTCAAAGAAGTCTTTTTAAATTTGAAATTAAGTTTTAGAGGGAGGGATTTTAAAAAGACAAAAATATCCTTCTTAAAATCATCATCAGAATATTTTTCCAACTATTTGGGGTTGGCTACACGAATCTTAGTCCGCCTCTCTGTTCTATCAAAGGCCATACCCTCAATGAGGGCATAAGTTGTTACCATTATTAAAATACGTGAACTATTTATAGTCAAAAGTCATTTTTGAACCCATAAGGGAATTTTATAGTCAAATATATTGGAGTAGTAAATTCGAATTGTATGTATGTATATCTAATATTCCTAAGCAATCCAATATACATATTGTACATAGGTTAACCTATTCTCAGGTGCTCCCAAGGTTGTGGGCTTCAACCATGGGTTGATCCCTTACCGACTTCCTCTCTAGCTCTTGTACTGGCTCCCTCTCCTTATAACAATGCACTCAACTATCAGTTGTGAAAGTGTGTACTTTCTGAACTTTCATTGAATCTAGTTGATTTACTAATTTTCTTATGACATCAAGGGTTTCATATTAAAATACGATTCCAGATTTGGGATTTTCTTGTACAGCATTTGAAATGTGGAATGTTGTTTTTCGTTAAGAACAGTGTTGGAACAAGTAAGAAGATTTCTTGACTGCTTTAAGACAATGCTTTAACAGAAACTCGTAGCTTTTTTTATTAACCTTTGAGGCTCACCTCTATGACTTCTTTTTGAGATATGTATGGGTCAACATCTTGAATGGGCCAATCTTATGCCTCCACTTCACTTTGTTTTTTAGCATAAAATCGTTGCCATTCATGACCATTCTTTTGAAATCAAAATCATTTATTAATCATATTCCATCTATTTTTATAGTAATGGTTTTTTTGATAATACATCTATTTTAAACTTACATCTATTTTGAACTCTTAAAAGTTTCAAATTTATATCTTTGTTCAAAATGACCATTTGATTACTAAGCTAAAATTATCAAATAATTAAAATGTAATTGGTCACATGATTTTAAAAAACATGGAATTTTGTTTGGCGCATTAACCAATAACAAATATAGGTGGGTGGCTTCACCTAAGGTTGTTTTTAGCAATTCATATCCCTCTAGTGAAATCATGTAAGCTTGATTCCTCTCATAGTTGTTGGGAGTAGGAGCGGATGCAGGTGCGGGTGTGGGTGTGGGTGTGGGTGTGGGTGTGGGTGTGGGTGTGGGTGTGGGTGTGGGAGCGACCGTTAGCTGAAGCTTCCTACACATGTTGATGAGAACTTTATCACAAGAGAAAATTATGAAATCCAAAAAAAAAAAAGTACACTTAGAAAGAGTATAATTAGAGTCTATAGACATAAGAGTACACTTTGGAGTCTATAGACATAAGAAAATCAAGAAATCCTAATAGATTTTCTACTGTAAATAGAAGAACTTATACATAATTAAAGAGGAATTTTGTTTTTAAAGAATATAATGTGCGAAAATCTTAATAATTAAAAATTATGGCGAAGATTTTTTAGAAGATTTGAAGGGATAAAATAAACGGTCCAAACTCAGTGGCGCACAAAACCTTGCTTTGGGATGAGCTCGACCTTGTCGCTACCCTCCCTCACTCCACTTGATACTTAGGGGGGGATTTCAATATCACTAGATGGTCCTTTGAGAGAAACTCTAGTCCCAACATCTCTCAAGGGATACTGGGTCTCTCGGATTTTGTTTCTCACAATGAACTTTTGGACATTCCCCTCCAGGGAAACCAACTTACCTAGTTAGACCACTCCACCCAACCCACTCTTTCCAAACTAGATAGGTTTCTACTTTCCTTGAACTGAGATGAGTACTTTCCTGGTTAGCATGCCCTGACGTTACTTAAACCCACCTCTGACCATTGCCCCATTATCTTATACACCCAATATGTCCTGAGGGGCCCCAGACCTTTTGGTTTTGAGGTCTCTTGGCTGGAAGAGGCTTCTCTTTCGTCCCTTATCCCTCATCCCTATTTGGTGGGGGTCTTTCTTATCCCTTGTCTCGGGTAGGATAGGGTGCATTTTGCAAACTAAAATCCAACTATTGAAAGCCTCCCTCAAAGCCTGGAGTAGATGTATTCCAGGAAATTTCTCTCGACTCAAGAGCAATCACCTTGTTGCCATCCAAGCTCTACTTCTTGCTGAAGACCCTTTCAGCGTCTGAATCAAACCTTAGAACTCAACACAAATTGGACTATTTTTCTACCCTAAAAAAAGAAGAGATTTTTTGGTTTCAGAGGTCCAAGGTGAAATGGCTCCACTTCGGGGACCACAACACCGGGTTCTTTCACAAAATCGCTAATTGCCGTCGTCCGGACGACAACTCTATCTCCACTATCAGGGATGATGATAGGATTTTGGACCAACCCTCCGAAATTGAATCAACCATTCTTTCTTTCTTCCAAACCCTCTTATACTGTTTCCTCGGGCCCTAGACCTAGAATGGGAGATTTATAATTTCTCACCACTCCTGCACATTGGGTCTAGTTGTTAGAACGTCATTTTTCTGATGCAGAAATCTTGGCGGTTATCGTGGCCCTGGATAAGGACAAAGCACTGGGCCCAAATGGTTTCTCGGTTGCTCCTTTCAAACTCTTCTGGGAAACCTTTAGGCCTGACTTCTTGAGGTTCTTTGAATAATTCTTCCATCGGGGTATCCTACACAAAGCAATGAACTCCACCTTTATTGCACTTGTCCCAAAGAATGAAGGGGCAGAAGAACTGAAAGACTTCTGATCGACTAGTCTGGTCAACTCCTCGTACAAGATTCTATCCCCCTCTTCGTGATTTCTCTATCACAGAGCGCCTTCATCAAAGATAGGCAGATCCTTGATGGGGTCCTGGTGGCACATGAATGTCTGCACTCTAGGCACCTAGATAATAAACTGGGTTTAATTTTCAAGATTGATTGGGAAAAGGCATACGACCACGTTGGTTGGTCGATGTTAAAAGTAACTATGGCTAGGATGGGTTTGGGGAGCGTTGGGGAATGTGGATGAGGGGCTGCTATTCCCAACCATTTTTCTTTGTGCTTATTAATGGAGCACCTAAGGGCTACTTCCCGTCTTCTAGGGGTCTCTGACTAGGGGACCTCCTATCTCCTTGCTCTTTGTAATAGCTGCGGAGGTGTTCAGTCAATCTCTTTCTCGAATGTACCAGACGGGCCTCCACTCAGGCTTCAAGAGTAGCACCAAAGGCCCTACTCTCACCTTCAATACGCCGACGCTATTCTCGTCTTCATTGATGTAGTACCGGAGGAAACAGAGACCCTGCACCTTTTCTTCAGATGTTTCTAGTATGCTATGGGCTTTGAAGAGAACATGAAGAAATCCACTGTGATTGGGGGTCGCTCTCACTCCGTCTGAGACTAGAGCCCTCATCCCAGAGTGGGAGTGCAAAGTGGATTACATCCCTACTAGCTACCTAGGCATGCCTTTGGGCTTAGGTAAACCTAAAGGAGGCAGTGGTCCCACATCATAGACAAGGTTGATCACCGCTTGACATGGTGGAAACGTAGATTCATATCCTTCGCAGGTCAGACCACACTCATCAAGGCCACCCTGGCCAATACCATGGTGTACCTCATGTCCGTGTTTCACATGCTCGTAGCGGTAGCTTGACGCCTTGAACAATTGATGAGAAAATTTCTCTGGTTGGGGAACATTGAATCCAAAAAATTCCACCTTATTTCTTGGGAAAAGGTCTGTTAACTGAAACACCTGGGTGGCCTTGGGATCCGGATCTTGAGGAAACAAAATATGGCCCTGCTTGACAAATGGTGGTGGCGACTAGCAACAAATAACGATAGAATTCCCGCCAACTCTTGGTTACTAGAAGGGAGGAACCCAAGCAAGTGTTCAAGGGCTTGGAAGTCATTCATGTCCTCTCTCTCTCTCTCTCTTTAGGCCAAAAGAGAGAGAATCCGTTTCTGGTCAGACCTCAGGTTGGCCATACGCCGCTCAGGGACCTATTCCCCTCCCTTTTTTCTTTGAGCACCAACACATCCTCCTCTATTGCTGATGAGATGTCTATCTTCAGTAATCTTAGGGTTTGGAACCCCTTTTTTAGATGCCCCCTTTCTGATCTCGAAACTTTGAAATTCCTCTCACTATCTTCTACGCTGCATTCCACTTTCCTCACCCTCTCAGGGCCCGATAGCCTAGTGTGGACCCCATCCCATTGGGATCCTTTTCGGTAGCCTCATTTTACAAAAAACTACTGCCACCTCCCACCTTTTCCCACTCTCCGACCTCGGCAGTTTCTAAGGTGCGGTCCTCTATAGCCCCACCTAAAGTGCAAGCTTTCAATTGGATAGCGTGCTCTGAAAAATCTCTCAATGTGGACCGTCTTTAACGGAGGGGAATTCCTATTCCCAACCGCCGTCTCATGTGCTTTTGTGAAGAAGAAGCAACCCTCATCTTTTTATCCATTGCAATCTGGCTCACTGTATGTGGAGCCCTCTCCTTCGCCTCTTTGGCCTAGCCTGGGTAATTCCTGCTTCCCTACCAGCCCTACTCAAGCTTTCCATGGACATGCCTTGGCCCAAGGCGGGCATGATATTATGGAAGGCCTCTATAGCTGCAACGATCTGGGTCATTTGGACCGAATTTCTTAGGATCTTTCATGGAGTCAAATGTGAAGCTTCAACTCTCTTCCACAAAATTACCGCTCTGGTCATTTTCTGAGCTTCAAACCACAAGGCATTCAAAGGCATTTCGGCGTCAACCTTCTTACGAAATTGGGTAGTGGTCCTCTATGTCCACTCTTCTCGGGTTTCACGAGCTAACAACTGGTCTCCTCCTCCGTCTGGCCTCACGAAGCTCAATTTTGATAGATGTTCCCTTGGAAACCCTTACCTGCAGGAGGGGGGAGGGGTGGGTTCTTTAGAGATCACCACGGTAATATCCTGGCCTCTTCTCCTACTAGCCAAGTCCACGACTCTCCTTAGGGGACTCAAAATGTTTGACCACACTTGGGGACACCCTCTGATTGTTGAAGGGGATGCACAAAATATTATCACCTGGGCTGCTGGTCACACTCCACCCCTTGGTACCTTGGTCCAATTTATGATGAGATTATGCATATTTGCAGGGTTACAACCGTCTTATGGACACATATTTGGAGGGAATTAAACGCCCTAGCGGACCAACTCGCTAAGGATGGAGCAGCTGCACGTGCTGTGAATACATAAGAGCTCGGGGTTTTTGCAAGTCTTTGTACCTCGGTCCCTTACTTTTAGGATTTTTGGGACTTTTTGTATCCTCGCCTTACTTCTTTTTGTATATCCTTTGTAATGGGCAAGTGTTTTAAGCCCCATCCTTTTTTTCGTATAGGGTTACCTTTCTTGGGATAGCCTATTTTTGCCAAGCGGCCTGGTCTTTGGACCATCTTCATGTACTTCTGTAATCACTTTTTCTCTTTTAATACAACCGTCAACAGCTTCAAAAAAAAGAAGAAATGATAGACATAAAGGGCATTACAAAATCCAAGAAAAGATTTTTTCTAATATAAACAAAAGTCTTTAAATGAAAATTAAGCGAATAAATAAATCAATAAAAAATATCATTATTTTCAAGCATTTTCAAATAATATAAAATTGTCAATTGATAGACACTTTTGAAAGGTATAAAAGATATTTTATGTAAAAGAATACAATATACAAAAATATTAATGATTAAAAATGAAGGAAAATATTGTAGGGAATATTTGAAGTGAGGTACAAAAATGCAGGAAATGTCACAAAGGGCTTTGAAATTGAGGAAAAGATTTTTTATTATATATCATTATAATAGATTCTGGAATAATATAAAAATAAAAAAACTTTAATTAAGTAGGCACTTTAAAGGAGTGGATCAAGATTCTTTGCAGTCAAGGATAGAGATCCTTTACATTAGGAATCGAGATTCCAATAGGTAGGGATCGAGATCCCCTGATGGGAGGAAGTGAGGCTCCGGCTCCGGGATCGCCGGATCGAGATCCCAAGAGGGGATAGCCACCCCTTGACCAAGATCCCTGCAGCTATGATTCCTCTTTGCTTTCTTATTATCTGAGCTTAAGAAAGCTTAACTTGAATCTTATTAATGAAAAGAAAATAGACGACTTAAATAATGATGTTGCATTTTTCATTTTGGTTCTCTTTCTGTTGGACTTTTCACTTACATTACTAGATCAAGGCTTGTCAGAAGTTACGAAGAGTGATTGCAATCTTTGACAGGAGATAGTTTTTCTTAGAATTTCATGACATTGAATAATAGATATCTATCTTACTACTAGATTTAACTTTCATGATATCGTAAACTCGTAATAATATGTGGAGACCACTATTGCATCATACTGGAATTGTCTGGACTCTGAAACATGTTCAAAGCTAAGTTCCT